ATGGCTTTTAGAGACAGTTCTGTCTCTTGTACCATATTAATCAAAAACATAGCTGGATTTTTAAAAAAATAATTATAAGGTGACAGTTAAGAAAAGTTCTTGTAGAAAAGGAGTGTTGATCAAGTTGCTTTCAACTGAAGCTTGCAAACAAGAATAATTTTACATTTAATATTTATTACAGGAGTAGTAATAAAGCAGTAGCACAACACACTAAAGATATTATTTTTCTTTATACCTTGTTGAAGAATATGCAGATGTCCTTCGAGGAAAATGAGAATCATTTTAAATGAGAAGCCTTTTAATTGTGAGAAATTAATGGCTCTTCTCTCTTCTGATGAGTTTAATGCTCGTAGAGATCTGCCTCTGCAAACACTAACACATAGAAATTACATATCTGCATCAAACTATTTTCATTATCAGAATCCAACACTGACTTTATACAGCTTTAAATAGTAAATGACAAGCCTAAGTAAAAAAAAGAAAAATAAAGAAGTTAGTAAAAGTCTAAACCTGAGGCAATACATAAATCTGCTGATACTGCAAAGTCAGCACTCAGAAAGCAAGAAATCCAAGAAATCCAAATCCTGTTGCCAAACTAGGCTTCTAACTGTGGAAGCTAATTAGCCCAGTTTTTACCTAGAAGGGAATTTCTGTTTAAAATTCACCCAGGTTTTAGGTTACAATGATTTAAGATTACAGACCACCACCCTCCAATATAAATATACATATATATATATATATATGTACATGGTAAATTTGTTTTAAGGCCTTCCACTGGAAAAAAAAAAAAAAAGCCACGATAAAATACTAAGGCCACCTTAAAGATTCAACCATATATTCCTTCCAGCCATAGAGGAAAAAATATTTCCCATGAGATTACAAACAAAGAGGGATTAATTAGTAAGAGATAATTCTTAGGCATTGCACAATGCATTCATGTCCCTCAAGTCAGCACATTTTACTGAACGATAATGTCAACAGCATCGGTTCTTACTGGTCAAAATTACATATGCATGATACCTTTCAATTTGAAGACTATAGTAATTTCAAGGGATTTAAATTTGTATCCAGGCAAAGAAGACATCAGTGATATGATACAATTTTTAATGTGGGTTCATTCCTGACTTGAACACTTTTTAGTTCAAACTGCTGATAATCAACATCGGGGGGATTTGCTTTTGATTTTCTCAATGGGAACAAGCCTACTGGAAAGCTCATCAGTGGAAGCTGCAGGTGCACGTCCCCTCTGAAGATGTTAACCTAGAAGAAAAGCCATGATCCCCCTGAGATAAATACAATGTGATAATTATTGGAAATTCTGGTACAATCTTCTGATAGGAAAGCAAAAATTTTAACATCAATTTTAGATGAAGATGAAGATTATTTAGATTATTTAGAAATCAGTTCATGAAAATGCCATGATTCTCTCTGACAGCAGAGGACTGTTGCCCTAGAGATCTCCAGTCTCAAATTTGTGTATTCATTTGAAAACACCCATTGGCGTCATTGTATATGGGAGCTGAATTTGTCCTGAATTTGACTGGAAATCTGTCTCTTCAGATACTGAGGTCAGATTTGGAAATACAGCCTTAAACTCTCCTGCTTCTTTAGCCATGAAATAGGTATGCCAATTGTGTACTACACTAGGCAAAACCTTTACGTGTATATTTGCCAAAAAGAACAGTGATAGGGAGAGAAGAATGCCATGTCTCTTTACTGTGCCTAGACACAGTGCCATTTGAACACAAAACAAAACACATGGCAGAGGATGATTGTGAAGAAGGAGCCAGTCCTCACAGTCATTGACTGGAGAGAAATTTCTGGCAGTCTTTAGTTCAGGTTCTCAGACAGCTCTAAGGAAATCAAGGGTAGATATCTTTATCATTAAGCAATAAGGCTCGAAGGGAAAAGAAAATACTTGTGAATATCATCTCTCTAACCATCTCTGATAAATTAACTGTCTTAATCCCTTTTCCCACTCCTTTTTTCCACCCATCCTTTTTTTTAGGTGACTACGCCCTTTCACCTGCTTCACCCTCACCCTTGCCAGCTTCAGTACTTGGAGCAATTCAGAGAGCCCTGCCAGCAAATCTCCCGCTCCACTTACTGCTGTGCTGCCCCACCTCCCATCTGCTGCTCCACAGCCTGTCTGAAGAGACTGGGATTGGCATGGAAGCAGGTGAAACACTCTGAGAAGGCAGACAGAGGGAAGCAGCAGGTTCCCAGCTGTTAGCAGATGGAATAGGATTTAACTTTTCTCCCACGAGACCTGAGCAACCCATAGCTAGATGGAGTTGCCCTGCAGTCACTATTCATTTTCCAGAGACATCAAAGGTCTAGCATGCTACATTTTGCACTGCTTCTTCACTAAAGAGTAAGATGCTGTTGAAAAATCAAGTAACTGCACTGCATTTTCATGATAAAAATTGTAATTGCCACTGAAGTGGTGTTTAATAATTTTAAATGAAGCTCTGAGGCATTCTAAGAAAAGAAATATAGGGCAAAGGATTCTTCTGTAATATAATGCAAACCCCTCACTCAATATGTTAGTGAAATTTATGTAATTAATTAGTGGCACTTAATGAACATTTAAATATCCTGTGCCTTTGGCTATCACAGAAAAATATTCTGGCCAATGAATGCAATCAAATTAGTCAAGGAACAGTACGGAATTTTTATTTTTTTTTTTTTTAAGCATGAAAAGTTATCTGTTAAAAAATTATGTCTAAAAAATTAAAAATAAGTACCTGGTATGTAAGCTCACTAGTTTATTGAAATTAAAAATGAAAAGCTTTTCATTAATACTCATATTTGGGGAGGTAAATAGCTGCATTGCTGGCTCCAAACCAAACCAACTTCAGACAAGTGGTTGCTGAGATCACAGCAGCAATGTACAATATGTACGCAATGTATATGTTGATAGCAACAACCACATACAACATTTCACAGAAAGTCACATTTACCTAAATTTTCTAAGGCACTACAACACAGCAGGGTTCTTTCCTGTGATCTTGAATTATAAACGTGTAGATATTTTGCCAAATTTTATTTTCCAGTCAAATTACTAGAAAACAACAGCAAAAAGTTGCAATATATAAAGGAAAACATAACGTCTGAATCCCTTTGGAAAAGCCTAGCAACAGCATCAGTTTGGGTAGGAATTTCAGCTAGGACAAGCCTTCAAGCTTTTTTCTGGAGCAACTAACCATCTCAGCTCAAAATATAAAACTTCCTGGAATGCCAAGGTACATGAAGAAAATTTAGATATGAATCATGTTTATTCAAGTTTTATTTAAAGATAGAAATAACTCCTTTGGACTCCTTGGCAGCCTAGGGCTGCTTACAGGTTACACCTGTAACTCCCATTATGTTAATGAGATTATACTTACTCATTAACCTCTAGTGTATTAATGGCTAATTATGTGTCTTATTATTTAAAAGTGGATGCCCCATCCACAGGTTGCGTAGGGATAGGATGGCTGAATACAAATGTTTAGGTGTGTGAAATGAAAAGGTAAAGCTGTATCTGCAAAGAGTTCTTGGAGGTTAAATATTTAACATTAGGAGGATATTCATTACATTATATATAAATTAAATGAATGTGCAGGTGGAATAAAGACAAAGCACTGATATTGTAACTTGCAGCAGGCATTTGCTTCAAAGATGCTCTTGGTATCAGAGTGAATTTCTTTAGTACCAGTCATCATCCTCTCCTCAGAGCACTCACATGTACCCTATAGCAAGTACAAGCATATGCTGTGCTAAAAAACAATCTACTGTTGACTCGTCTTCTAAGACAGTATTAAATTCAGGTCATTTTGACTGAATTACACAAAATTTTCACCTACAGTTCTTTTGCAGAATAGAGGTGTTGAAATGTGCTGAGTAACATACAGCTATTTTACCCAAGTATTTTGTGGAGGGGGGAGATAAGAATATATTTTAAAACATTTTAAGTAGCAATACTATTTGCCCAACTAAATGTTTAACAATGTTTCAACGTGAAGCATTTTGTTTCCTGGATTAAAGAAAAAAAAAAAATTAAAATTCTCTTGAAGTTATTTCTCATGTAATAAGAAATCTTCCTCAAAATCTTATCCAACCTCTTGTTATTAATTTTTTTGTTTTTTGAAACTGCTAGAAAGCCAAATAACCCATTCTACACAAAGTCCTTTTTCTTAAACAGAACTTCTCAGACAGGGCCTAGCCTGCTGAACAGCATTTAATCACCACCACCAAAGCACAGTTATGGTGTCATGCAAAAGATAGTGTCACTGAGTCTCTAGGTATGAGAAAGATGATTTGTTTGACTTGATTTTTTTTTTCCTTCCTAATAGCACTGAGAAATCCCTTTAGGCAAGACCCTTTTTTTTTTTCCTTCCTTTGTTTTAATTTTTCCTTAAGCAAAAAGGAGTGGGACTCATTTGTTAGGTGTGTGAGACTTTGCAGGTCTGGTTTTACAATACACCATTTAGTCTTTGGTGAGGCTTGTTAAACCCTGAAAGAAAAGTCATGCATTGACTGAGTGACGCCACCCTGAGGTTGATTCCCAAGGGAAAGTAAAGATTTGGTCCTGCCTTACAATCATTAGGGTGACCGAGAACACCTTCTAGCAAGTGATAGCGTACCCAACCTTGGCAAGCTGCATAATAACATTAAACCCAGTGATGTAATTATTCACTCCTAATATAAAGGGCAGGGTTCCCTGGGAAATCAGGAGCAGGGCTGAGAAATACATTTCACAATACAAACGGAGGCAGTTTGTCAAGACTCTAACCTGGGAAAATTAACTTGTGAAGCTGTCCTATGCATCCAGTGTGCCCAGTTCAGAATAATTTCAAATTTATGCAGGGAGGATCTTTAAAGCACTAAATTATCAGGCTTGAACACCTTGTTTGAAATATCACTTTAATTTGTTGTGGCTCAGAGATCTTTAACTTCTTATTAATTATGGAGATACATAATGTAAATATATACATAAGTTTAGCATAGTAATTTAAACTAAGGCCTACTGACCTGTGAACATAAGAAAAATTTATACGTAGAAAATATCTTTCATATAAGCTAGTGAGAAAGCATCACTCAAGATGACATATAAAACTTTTCTTCAATGTCAAACATCTTTTTCATGAGCATTTCTTCCTTATTTCTTTATTCTGCGTAACCTTGTGTGTTGCCAGGTAACAAATTTTTACTGTGTAAAGGTACACATTTCCAAATATATCCTTAAATACAAACTGAAAATATTTTCATCTTCATACATTTATACACCTACAATTTTGGATTTGTTTGAAAAGGAATAGCTACACATGCCAAAGAAGTGACTGTTTCTGTACCTCTGTACACAGAAAAATAGATTTTTCTGCAAGTATATTTCAAACTGTGGAATATTTGAACTACAGCCCAAGTAATTACCTGAGCAGTCTACTGGGAATGTACATATTAGAACAAGTTGTAAAATAATCTCTTCCAAATAGCTATTAAAAACAAAATTACAGATCCTGGGCCAGATTCTCAGCTGTTACAAATTGGTGGCTGTTACAAGTCTCTGACTTCATGTGTGCAAAGGTTGAGCTCCAAGAGAAGTTTTACAGTAAAACTACAAATAACTGAAAAATGAGGTTCAGAGTAGAAGCACAGGTGGTATTCACACCATCTCCTTCAAATTCCTTTAGGCATTTAGCCTGGCTTCTCTGAATCATGCCTGCCTCCTCTACACTGGCAGTATGAGGATCCTGGGTTTCTCCAAACTGCACCATAACAGATGACTAAAGCAGAATCAGTCAGACAGTGTAAATGCCCTGAATACCACAGAAAGGTCATGTCTTCTGTCAATATATCTGAATTGCTAGAGAGACTGCTTTCAAGACAAGAAAAGAAGTATCAAACCATTTCATTGTAAAGGTTGCAGTTATTTGCAAAAGCAAATCAGTTGTTGCTCCAATTCCTGCATCACTTTCTAATTTCTCTGGGATTCTCTTAATTAAAAAGTACCCTGGATATTGTCTTGCTGTCTATAATAAGAAAGATTCTTATTTTCTTCTTTAATGACGGTCTAAATCTAGTGTAGTAACCAACTGACTAACACAGGGAAATCCCAATCTTTCAGCTCCATTGTATAATTTATACAATATGTTCAACACTTTCCCACATAATAAACGTGGGAATCCCTTACAACCAGTCCAAGGTCTGAGGTTTTTTGTATGAATCATGTTCACTGCATCCTGGCTTAACCACACCCCCAACTACTTCTGCTGGGAGCCAAAGAGTTACTGCAATCACCACTGGTAGGAGATACCATGTGCAAAAGCATTATTTACAGCAGGATGCAGTGAAGATGAGAGACAGAGACTGATAACTTTATCTCAGGGGTTACCTGGGAAAGACTGCTCTAGGTCTATTTAAAAGAGTAACTTTAAATAATGAATAAATTAAGAGATATTATCATTCAAATATTACTTCTTGCTATGACAAATCTTTCATGTAACCCTTAGCCAGGTTCTGTTTATTTAAGGTGATGCTCATTTGAATAGTTTGGGAAAGAAGTGCTTTCACTGTACCTGTTATTCAATTTGACAGTTCTTTGCAACATGGGAGAGTCATGTTTGAACTTGTACAGAGAAATGTCATTGTCTTGTCTTAAGAAAAGATATTCAAGATACCTCAGATAATGTTCACATGCATTTAGCCTCCCTGAGTGGAAAATTAATGTCTGGCAGAAGTTTTTATATAAGGGAGACGGCAAATAACAACAGGTTGTCCCATTATTAATGCAAAACTGACAATTTTTATCAGCCTTTAAAAACTAATGTATAGTTTCTGAGTTATGCTCAGTGCTGCGAATCCAGCTAGACAGTTGCCTGTAACATAGATGTCTCCACTGTATGTTTATTCCTATTGCTTCGAGCTCTCGTAGATGCAAAACATAGCACAGACATAATCACCTCTTGGTCTTTTCTCTGTCAGACATATTTCACTTCTTTTATACTGTGCTGTCAGATAATCCCAACTCCACCTTTTGCAATCAGGAACAAGAGTTTGTCAAGGCTTTAGGCGCTCACTCAGCTCAAATCTGACCACATTACTTGGACTTCTGCTCTGAATCATCCTCTGGAAGAACCTCCTAGATATACACCTGTCTGTTGACTCCAGAGGGAACCAAATCTAAAGGTCAGTCAGCTAACTCAGCCACCTAAATCACAAACTCGATTGTGAATGTTAAATAAAGCCACTCACAGTTATGTGGGGGTAAGAAATTAAGGGCAGAAATGGTTCAGTGCTACATTTATAAGAGTGAGCTTTTTAGAGCATTTTCCTTTCACTAAAGGTAGTTTTTGAAGTGGGAGAGGGAATCCATAAAAGGAATTGCTTTTGCACTATTATGCAAAGGTGCACTAGTCACAATCCAACCACTTGTTGAATATTGCGTGTTTGCCACGTCTGCATTCACTGCATGAAGCAAGGAGGTCAGAAGCAGGGATCCTGAGTTTGGTTCTTATCTACATCACTGATTCAGTTTGCAGTATTAAGCAAGTCAAGTGAGTGGTGTCAGGTTGGCATCACAGGTTTTCCCACATCACAGAAATGCTGTATGGCTGAATTAATTTATGCTTATGAAGCACTTAAACTTTTTGGGAAGTCAGTGCAGTATTATGAAAAGGAATTTCTCACAGGTTCCAGAGAAGCTGGGATCCAGAGGAACTGAGGCAATTAATCAATGTTCTTATGGAGTGAGAACACTGTGCCTCTCTGAAAGACAAGCATACACAAAAGTTAAGAAATTGTTTATTCCAGCCGTAATAGGAAACTTTTGTATATAATTCCCCTGCTTACTCAGAGGCACTTTTAACATCTGTCAGGCCAGGCCTAGCACTTAGCACACAGATCTGAGGACAGAAACACATGCCCCATTTCCTGACAGCAGCTCACCCACCACTGCTGCTGGACTCAGGGACCACGCATAAGACACCAGGCTCAGTTCCACCAGTGTGCAGTTGGACTTCATGGACCAAATCCAAATTTGTGCAGGTGTAAATGAGAACCACACAATCTGTTCCATGCCTTTAATGAAATTTCAGTTCTGATTACATGGCACTCTCTTCCTTTTAACCATTCAAGAAGGGCTGAGGACTGAACCCAAAAGCTACTCACCTTCATTCCTTGATTCTTTGAGGCATGCAGTATTTCAATCAAAATCCTTATCAACAGCTCCAAACATCATTCCCACCCCTTCCCATTCAGACAGTGCCAGTCAGGTCAAACAGCAATCACCACCACATTTGGAGTCGTTCAGGGGAAAAGTGTTTAAGGGCATCCACTCTTTTCTTTTAAATCCCCTGACTTCTGTCCAGAGCTCTTCAAGCTCTAGCAATAGAAAAATTACATCTTTCACTCAAACACCACCAACCCACTCTTCTTTCTTGTATTTAATCATAATTCCTGTTCACTGAGTTGTTCTTTCTCCTGGGTTTCTACACCTGTGCTCCTCTCCACTTTTACTCAATCTTTAAGCATCTGGTAATATCCAGTCCTGCCAAGTTTTCCTATGAGAGCAAGCACAATCAGAGGCCAATAGTGACAGTAATCACTGTAACAGACAATTTCAAACATTGTGTGTTCCTCTTACACTACAGGGACTGCTTTCCCAGCCCAAAGAGAAAAAATTAAACTGAAAGCCTTAGAACTATAAAAAAAATGTGTATTTTCAGCTAGTCAGGAAAGATAATGCAGTATTTTGGTTTTGGGGTTTTTTTTATATTCTTTACACCTATGGACCCCTACATGCATTCACACATCTATACTTCAGAGCACTTTATCACTTCAGTTATAATTTAGAATTTTTAAAAGGCATTGCAACTGATTGCAGTCTGTTGCTATCACCCAAAGAGTCTGAAAGCATAATCAGTGTTGTATTCCTTATCTGCTGTATTTCCTTGTCTCCTTTTGCACCATGACAGAGGATTAATCACCTGATGGGAATACCACAGACTGCAGAGATCTGGTGGGAAATATATTTCTGAATGACTTCACACTAGTCAGAAGTTCATGATGTCTATGATTTATTGTCTCTAGTGAATTTCTCATTGCTTTTGAGAATTTAAACTCGTTCAGCTGCTCCTAGTGATGAGGCACAGAATGCAAATACAAGGCCACAGTAACTCTGTGAAGCTCATATTTGGAAAGCAGCTTTTCCAAAATACGCAGAGAAATTATGACTTTAGACCTAAGGAGGAGAAGAGCAACTTACTTTTCAGCTGTTTTCACATTCTTTTCTGGCTGTGCTGTAAAGACTTATACATAGGAAAAAAAATGTCGAAGAACTGTGGCCAAAATCTGAAGTCCTCCTTCAATTTTCATCACATTTTTACATGGCAAACTACCTCTCAGCATACTTCCATGTAATAAGATACACACATGGAACAGCAGAAATAAGAACAAGGCCAAGATGTCAGGACTGCTCTTTGGCATATTCAGGATGTACCAACTGGAAGCTGAAAATGAGAGCAGCTCAGGTAACAGACACGGTTGGACAGATGGGGTTTATATACCCCAGGAGGGTAGAAATGCTCACTAGGATCATTCAAAAGCAAAGGCAGATGGCAACATCACACAAATTCTACCCTGAATAAGGATTTCAGGTTCAGAGCCCTGATCTGAAGGAGCAAATACAGCCTGGCTGCCATCACTCAACATTTCAACTAATTTTTGAAACTAAAACAAAAATTTTGAAATTTTTGTTATTTCTTAATTTCTTCCTCACTGTTCAGTTTTGATATTCACTGCTACATCTCCTCTTCAGCCTTGAATATGGTTAGTAATTTCTTTGGGATCACAAAACTATAAAAGCAATGTTTAGTCATACAAAATAAACACTAAACATTTTACAACCTCTAAATATACTTCTGAAAACATACAGTATCTTCTTTGGCCCAAAAAGACTTTAAAGGCTGTCTTCACTGAGCAATGTGATAAAAAGGACCAAAAATATTCAAGATACTGGTAGTGTTTTAAGTGTTAAAAAGTAAAACACATTTGAGCATGCATGTGAGTAATGGTCTGACTACTGACTGGTCTGTCTCTGTGAAAAGGGGCATAAAGCCCTACTGTTCTGATATGAATAACTGCAAGTGACAATGCTAAACAAAAGTAGTAGAAAACTAAGGTTATCAAGAAGTCAGTAGGCTATAACTAAGCTAGTAAGTCAAGAAGCTGTTTATCTGTAGTAATATCTACATAAATACCAGAGACTTACAAATTCGAGTGCACACCAAAACCAGAGAACTTTCCTAATGCTTGACTTAGGAGAAAAGAGACACTGTGAGATGAATAATTGGTTAGGCTTTCTTCCCTTTGTCACTCCCCTAACAGTCTGGATATGCCTATCCTCCATTTTGAGAATTTATATGTTCCCTGAAACGAAGAGAGGTTTCATCTCCTTTCAGCTATCACATTCACCTCTTTCAGAAGGTCTGCTTTGCCTAAATTCTTTGACAAGGAGTGAGTGAAATCTCAACTGCACTGAAGGCAGGTGGGAAATTTGCCATTCACTATAACAGAGCCAGGGTTTCAACAGAAAGTTTATATCTGTAGAAGACCAGACTGAATCTAGTCCAGTGTTTGTGAAGTGCTTTGAAGTAGAGAGTGTTGCAGCACAGAAAGTATTGGTATTATTACTATTGCTATTGAGTGCATGAGAGAGAAGAAAGGTAGAAACCTCAGAATGAACTGGAAGGAAACACTGATTCTGGAGATCTTTCCCAGAGGTCAGTACATGGCATTTTTCTAAACAGTTTCCTTTAAAAGCGTCTAGTAAAATTCTCTTTCAACCTAAGAACTTTCTTGGCATGTTAATCAGAAGCAGATCTTCCTACCAAGCCCAGCCATCCTTATGGAAAGCGTCCTATCTTTTCCTTTACATAGTTTTCCTGAGTTTTATTACTGGTCTCTAAAGATTAACTGAAATACTCTACAGAGAGCTTACTTTATTTTTACTTTTTTTCAGAACCACTACTGAAGCCCACGCTGGAAGGAAAAATTTATGTTTTGCTTTCACCCTGTCTGTTCTTCCTCTGAACTACAGTGTGGCCCATGCACCGCACTGGCCCACAGAAAAGAGAGCCTGGGATTCAGTGTTGTTGGCAATTATAAGCTCTTCCGTTACTTGTGGTTGTCGTGTATTTATTACCACCAGACAAGACAACGGTTGGTCATCAAGGAAAAAAAAGCCCTCTCCCATGATCTCATTAACTAGTTTATTCTGCCACACACTCATTCAGAATTCTTTTCAAGTTACATGGACAACACTGCAGTCGGGAAATGCATTAGCTGCTACCAAAGAAACTAACATTTGGGTCTTGGCTGTTGCTTCCTCACAGTATTCTCAGATCACAGTCCCTGCCGTTCCCTCAAACATCTTGCTCATTGGGAAAAAAAATGTTCCCTATAGGGTTCAGACACCCAGGAACTGATCTTCAAGTGGTGCAGACTGTCAGGGTTCCCTTAACCTCAGGCAACCCAAGGTTGTAGGCTTCAGAGGATTTATCAGCAACCCAGCAGCTGTGAGAAGAGCACAGCTTTAGGTCAGAGAAGGAACAGGCCAGCAGTTGTGAATCAGCCATTGGCACACTCAGCTCAGCTGAGAATTCCCAACCACAGCCTACAGAAGGGAGTTGTTACATCTTGATTAATTTCAAATCACACTGTCTTCTTTCAGTCTCTACCTTTTTTGGTTATCGCAGTGCACAGCAATGGTCCCAGTGGTTGAGATCTGCACAGTTGTATTCTTGACTCTGATCTTAATCATGTGGCCTGCGATGGAAACAGTGACAAATAACTTTTATCAGTCAACTAAAAAGAACAAGCTTTTATTAGTCTTCTAAATTTAAGCAACTACACTACAAGCCAAATAAAGGTGGTACTACAAAATATGCTATTAAATACTTCACTCTTTAGTAGGTATAATTGCAGTTACAAAGAAATTGGAAGTACTGTAACCTATGAATCTTCCAAAACAATTTATTCTTCTGTTTTCAATCAAGATGTCACTTACTAACAAGCTATTGCTGCTAAGACACAGTACATTAGCACTGAATTAATGCACCTATACATCTTCTAGAACGGAATCTGGAATGGATCTGATTTCTATATGAACAACTGTGATCACATCTATCTATATGCAATCATGTCAGCACTTGATGCTCCTACAGTTATTTTTCAAGAAGTCTTTTAGTCTCTCAGTGCTTTGGAAAATGAGGCCACTTCTTTGTAGACTGCAATATGGATCTAAATGCCCAAGTTTATACAGATAGATTTTAAAACATTGGAAACAGTGAAAAAAACTGCATTAACAAGAACAAACCCAAATATAACCATCTATTTATTTATCTAGTATTTGCTGCAAGTATATATGTATCCCCTATTTAAACTTACCAGTAAAAAATAGTATGTTTGGATGTAACATTTCAACCAATAAACACATTCCTAAGGGAAGATATGGCATGCTTTTCCACCACTTATCACAGTCAAACACACCAGCTGCATCTGTTCAGAGCAGTTCATATCTCACTTAACGCTACTTGTCATGGCCTGTGACATAAAAAACAAGGTACCTGGGCTCACTCTCCGTTCTTAGGAAGATCCACAACACTGCACAAATCAGTATTTCCTTCATGCCACACTGCTCTTAAGCATCCATGGGTGATTTCAACACATACTGTTTTTTTGACTCCAACAGAACAAGCAGGCAAGGGGAGATTTTAGAAAAGGAGAAAGATGGACAGAGTATTGATCCCTCTCTGTGCCCTCAAAAACCACACAGGCAGCTTAGGCTAGAGAGACTTAGCAAAAGATCAGTGTTTTACCACTCTCTGAAATCAGCTGTAACACCCTTACGGATTTAAGAGGGTGAGGATTTCGCTCACTCTGTTTTTTTCCTGACAGAGAAAGTCTAGTGGTCTACTTTTATGGGGTTACCTCTTCCTTTTCTGGAATCTGGGGAAGCAGAAGACCTGGTGCTGCTAAAGCCCTTTGATGTGCTAGTCTTCTGCAGTTTCCATGTCCGCTCTGCCTGTCAGGGTCACACATGTTCACAGCCCCATGGCTGAGCAGTACCTCATAGCACATCTCCCTTGCCTTCCCTACTGCTGCAAACACACAGGCACCCTCTAGCCATGCACCTCACCTCCTCAGCAGCTCTGGAGGCCTGTGGTGGGTCGGCTCCACTGATCAGCTGGAGATTTTGTTTAGAAGGCTTCTTTATGCTGTTTATGCTGCTGTCAACACCACAAACCTAACACTGCCACCTGGTTGTTTATATACCTCCACTCCAGGACACCCTCTACTAACACTGCCCAGTGTGTGAGGGTGCAGCTTCTCTTTTTTATTTTTATAAGGTTTGTTAACCACATTGCTATAAGATATTCATTCAGATTTCACCCAAACAGACCTCTTGCTGTCAGCATTTAATTATGCTTGCATTCCTATGTAAATAGAGCGTTAGCCAAAATAGAGCTTTTTATAGAAGATAAGGTCAGGCACATCTTTACAAGAAAAGGAAGCTTTGGAAGCTTCTGTACTTCTGACAAGAGTAAATTTCTAAATGCAATGGAAAAATGCATAGAATTGAGCATGTTCTGTTGGTGATAAATCACAGTATGGAAAGTAGTACTCTTTATATATCTTTATTTGGAGGCTTAAGAGTATATATTTAATGTGTGTATATAAAATACGTCATTTTAAGACGAAAAAGTCTTTTCAGACTTCCATTGAAAAATACTATGCACTAAAGATCACTCTTTTTAATGATTCACAGTTAAGAAAAGATTTCAACCAAGTTTTTCTCCCAAGCTGGGTATCAAATTATTTGACAATCTTTTTCTCAGTTTGGCTCATGTATGTAAACATCTGGAGAAACATTATGTTCTAAGCTTAACCACAGATTTTATATCACAAGATAAGCATACATTTTAAATACAAGTTTAAAGCTTAAAATACTGAAATCTCATAAATTCAAATAGGTCCCTAGTCTTCCAAGTATAAATGTCCATTACCCTTTCAAATAATTTTAGAAGAATAACACAATCTTTTGAACAAAAATACCAGACCCCACTGTGTTTAGATTAATGGGAACTGCAGCAAGCCTCATAGAATTTTTTTCCCCACTAACATGAGTCTTAACTCAATTGTCAAGTTTAGTGTCACCTCCAGTCTAGATTCCTGTGAAAGGTCATGCAGATCTAATGCACTGGCTCAACTTCTATTGTACTGGGACATTGTGGTTAACTTCAGATCTCCAGCTAGCATTCTCAGTAACCACACTGAGAGGTAGAACTGAAATCACATTGAACAGAGCTATTTCCATGATAACAGGTTTTTGAAAAACTTGTGCAAGTTTCTGGTGATAAAAAACTGCATCAGCTATTTTGGTTCTTGATTTGGACACATTCAGTGGAGTTGAACAGAAATTAAGTATCAGTTAACCTGATGCTGCTCCAGAAATTTATACGGAACAAAATTTAGTGTTCTCAAAATGAGACTTGACAAGTTATTTTCTTGTGGCAAATTTGCCTTGACAATACTATTTTGATTTGTCCAAAGGTTCCTATGTTTCTAGTAGTGTCAGTAAGTATCACAATAATTTAGGTGCTGATAATTCATATGGATCACCCAAGTTTTTTCTGAGACACCATCAGGAAATCAGAATTTGGTTCACCATCTTTTCACTTGCAAACCTTTAGGTACCCTAAAAATGCTTCATGAGAAAGACAATTAATGAAGCATTTGCAATTAACTTATTTTATTGCTGAGCACTGCCCCAGTACTGTGATGTAATTCACCTGTGCTGTTTGACCTAAAGGGGAATTTGGCAGTTGAAGCTGAGATGTTCTCACGGATCTGCCCTATTACCTAACTTTACCTACTGCTTCATTAGAAAAGTGTAAAATGATTTACATATAAATGTAAAATCAATTTTATACATATACAGTCAACAAATGTCTTCCACTATATGATTAAAAAAAAAAAAGACATTTGATTTGGCTGGAAATGCTTTGATAAACAACAGGTCTCATTGACTACACCATTGAAATGCTCTAATGAATTTTTAATGTCTTTAGTTGTTTAACTGGATCTTATTACAAAGAAGCTGAAGACACAAGGAGCATGATGTTTCCTCCACTGGCACATTTAAGAAATCAGTAAAGGCATGCCAAGAAAATGTTCTGTTTTCAAAACAAGGCTCCAAAACTGAACTCAGAGGAAAAAATAAAAAGCATTTTGTTGTTGTTTCTAGAATTAAACTACTGCTGCTGATTTGAAATGTACATTACCCTTTTCTCAAACTGAATACACTTGGTTCTGTCCTTTACCTCCCAACTGGTATGATATTGCATCTGTGGCTGGCTGACAGGTGGCAGAAACTGATCACATTTGAAAACAAATTAAAGGTGAGAGATGTCTTGCTGCACAGACAGTAGGAGGGAAATTCTGTTACTATAATCTATGTGGCATTTCCACATGAAGTTAAAAACTTGATTTCCAAGACGCTGACATGCTTCACTTCTAGCTACTATCGCACAGCCTGCCAGCTGCAGAGATCCTCCCTCTCTGCTTAGTAACCCCGTACTGATTAACAAGATTGAACTGAGAAAGTTCACCTTTCACTGTTTTGTCAGGTCCTTCATTTACTACCAATGTCCCCATGTCTGTTGCATGTTTTAAATCTTATATGCAGTCCCAAGCCATAGGAACTCAAGCACAATGAGATGATAAATCATTATAGACTCCTCTAGCATTCTGCAGTTTTTCTGGTGACTGACCTGCTGTGCCTTGAGAAGCCCCCCAGCTTGCATGGAGGCTTTCTTTGCTGTAAAAGCCTATGTTTTATCATCACCAACAGAACAATGGAGTTGGCTGCACATGCAGTAGGAGCCCAGTTCACCACTGGAGAGAAGAGCCTCTTGCAGAGCTTACAGAGCAGGGATCCTGAGGAGTGTAACACAATGAGGCCCGCAGAGCACTAAATGCACGTATGGGTTGCTGTGCCAGGGCTCCACTCAACAGGCTGCATCTCCTGGCATAGTGACAGGGTAGGATTAGTGCTGATCAGATAGACAAGCTACTTGCTCCATTTCCTCATGTAAGAAAGAGAGGAGTAATACAGTGGGGATAGGAAGAGCTTCAAAGCCTGCAAGAACATGAAAACTGATTCCATATTTAAAAAAAAAATAAAATAGAGGTGCATCTTCCAGCAATTTTTCTGAGCACAGTGAAAAAGGTCCCAAAGTTCACTCGCCCATAGATTTCCTTGAATGAGAAATAACATGTAGAAAGTGGGTGTCTTCTTCCCAGAACACACTCCAGAGTGTTTGAGAATGTACCTCATCCTCCCCCACAATTGTTTGTTTTATCCATCTGCTATTGCCCCATATTTGATTATGAATTGAAAGCATTCTCCTGGAGCTGCACTCTGAGCTTTTCAAACTGAAGTGTTTGAATAAGGCTTGTCACTACAGGAAGGATACAGAGGGCATCACATTCCCCAGCTGCCTCCCATCACCCTTTCCCCCTCCCTGCACCTCAGGGCCAGCAAGCAGCTTGGATGCAAAAGGGGAGAGCTCTAAGCAGCTGCTATCTCTTCCCTGTTTCTCCTGCTGAGCAGCTTCCATGCAGGAAAGTGGCTCTGTTGCTTGATTTCAAGTTGGAGGAGCCTGAGGGCAAACAGAATGGTTCATTGGGCTGTCTAAGCCTGCAGTGCCACATTAGTAGAGGATGGATTCCCCCCGTCCTACACAGCCACAAAGGACATGAGAGAGAGGTCATGTGGCTCCCCAATTCTCCCTGCCCCAGCCACAATGCTTGATTAAAGAAATTATCCTAATTTTTCCCAGATGAGTGTCCCAAGGAAATGCACAGTCTTAAAAAGCATTTCTTTCGGAAGAGTCTGCAGAAATAGGATGTTCTGCCAGTATTCTAAAGTTGGGAATTTCCCCATCTTCCAGAGGACTTTCCAAGAAGGGGCATTTGAGGGTGATTTTCACTTCCTCTGCACTGGCTGAACAGACACATGAAATAACCTGTTGAAGTCTTGGCCTATGGAGAAGTTTCTTTGCTCCAGCCAAGTGTCCTGCAGAACAAGCTAAAACTCTTCAGCTCAGCCTATAGGAGAGCTCTCTGGCACTGTCAATGGCAGCCAGCAGAGCTGGGAGCACCCATATTGTTTGTGCACTGTTCTTGAGTGAGAAGAATAAAAATCTTTTAAATGTATAGCCTGCTGTTTCTTAAGGAGTAGTTTTGGGTTTTTTCCTGAATTACTTCAATAAGCCATTTGCATTTGATAATTTAACTGATATGGGGGCTGTTTCAGGTAGCAAATTTACTGCTTTGTTCTTCACAACATGAGGAAATTTATTTTAAAAACAATTTTTCAACTTCAAAGCTTTACAAACTGACACAAAACACAACACACACACACACACCCCACCCATGCTTCACATTTTAGCCATTTGCAGAGCCCAAAAGTGGTGTGGAGACAGCTGACAGTAAGGAGATTGAAAGAGGTTTTTCTGTGTGGGCTCCTGCTGCAGCCAGATTAGATGAGGGAATTAGAGACAGGGTGCGGTTCCCACCTCGAATGCCTCTCCTGCACTTCACAGACCTTCACACTGCCTTATTAACACGCACTTCCCTCTCTCCTTCCAAACATGCAAACTGCACCCTCTCCCAGGTCCCTCCTTAGCTTAAGGGCGCTGGCATGTTCTCTGCTGACTTTCTGGAACCCAGGGATTTCCAATTATTTCCACATCCTCCTCCTGTTTCTCTTCTGGCTGTGGTGCCTTTGGGCTGCCGGCTTGACTTCCCACTCCACAGGTCTGCAAGGCAAGGGCAGAAACGCCAAAATTAAGAGAGCAGAGTAATATTTGCACAAGGCAGAAAGGAAAAGGAACAAATATAAATTGCCTAGGGCCAAATCTGCTTATTCTCTCTATCTTGCTCCTTTCTAAAAAGGCAGACTTCGTGTCTCCTCAGGTTCTTGTTAAGCTTCCCAGGGCATCCAGCATTGTCTCTCTCAGTTCTTAGGAAGCAATGAGGAGTGTCTTCTTTGCTTTTAGGCACAAAAGGCTGCATGAAGGTGAGTACGCTCAGCGTGTTTCATTTGAGTATGTGTCACCACACTGCAGCAGATCTGAGAAGCCTTGAACATACTATTGCAACATTTTGAATTCCTGCATTAGATGACATCTTCCCAGAGCAAAAATTGACCCCAATGTGACAAGTAATTGTTGCAGAGCCTGCACCTAAGGCCTGTCCAGCACTCAGTCTAGCAATTCCCTCACTAAGATACCAGCTTGGCCCATCACACAGCCCCTAACACACTCCCTTGGCTTCCTAGTGCTTGTTTAACTGCTCTTCTCTTTTGAAGAGTATCAGAGACACTCTTCACCCCATTTCTTCCAGACTAGGAAGCTGGTGGCCATAAGCAGCCTCCTCCAAGCCTTTCCCTGGCCAAGGCTACAAAGGGCCCTCCACCCTCTTGCTTGCTTGTGGGTACTACTACAAAATACCCTCTTTGCCCTGTTCGCAGGCCAAGTATTGCAGGGAGGGAAGGGGAAGGAAGGAAAAGGAGATAGCAAATGGAGTTATTGTTCACAAGAAGGGTGGAGGAAACATAGAGAAAAGCTGACTTGAGATGCAAGGCTCTTTTAGTTTCCTCCTTCTCCTGTAAGGACGATTTCTGCTGTTCCCATTCTTCCCCACTCTACTTCCCCGCTCTAATCTAACTCCTGCCTCTAAAGGAAGGGGAAGAACTGTGCCTGTCATTTGCAGAAGTCCTGGCTTGATGCTCTTCTCTAGGAAGTCAGACAGTCAGAGCAGCTCTCCACACTGGCAGAGCTGGGCATGTGGTGAAGGCCTAGGGTCAAGTTGTCGATAGCACTGCAGGTCTTCATATGCCCATCTGTTAGATGGCCAGAGAAAGACACACACCAAGCATTTATCTGGTTAATTACTCCTTTCATTTTCTGTATTATTCCCCATTTAAAAATCTGTATGCATACACTTGCAGCCCCTAACAATGGCATGTTTGTGTGATTCCAGCTGACCAAACAACAGAAGTTATTTATAACTACAGATGACCGGACTCTGCTGTATTTTCATTTATGTAATTTTCCTTAGATCATCCATTGGAAAGGGGTCATACTTTCATGTTTCTCACACGCAGAGGCCCTGTAGGTTAGCACACAGGAGATGAACCTTGGCAGCCTGCGCTGCTGGACTGCCTGAAGAAGAATTCTCACTGCAGCTGCCTGAACCAAGAACACACAGGGGCTGAGGGTGAGGTAGTTGTTCTCAGTACCACACCAGGCAGCAGGTGGCTGAAATGGAAGGACCAGTGATTCTCAGATATAAAGCTTTTTAAAATGACTACTCATTTGTGGGTTTTTCTTTTGTCAAGGCTCACTGGCATTTCAGAGGAACAGTCAGTGCCTGAGGAATTCCAAAATAAGTGAGTGGAATATTGAGAAGTGGCATTAAGTAAACAGGATAAGCAACTAAAACTTCTTATTCTTAGATGGGAAACAGAGCCACAGCATGTCCATCCATGCTAAAAGAGCATAATTTCCCCATCCACATCAATGCACTGAATTAAAAACCACTTTTTTATTTTTAGATGGTTTTCTTAGTACAAGCTTATATGGGGACAGGCTTGAATTTACTTTGGTAGTTAGGAGATCAAAGGCTACCTCTTTGAGGCCCTTCTACATACAGTCTTTTCACATTATATGGAAGGAACACTTTCTGTAGTCCTTTCACCATGCAATGATACTATCCAAGACAAATTAATTTAAACAAACATACTATAACAAAAAAAAACAAAACCACAATTTGCAAAATCCTGTGTTTCTATCTAGGAAATAGGGCAGTTCTCCACAAGGCTCCTAGAAGAGGCAAGAGACACAAAGGGAACTGCTATGTCCAAGGTCTCCTTTTAGGGTTATAGATCAAGATTCAGAGCAGCCAGATGGAGACAGCAGCATATTTTACAGTATACTGATGCATGAAATAGGCCTCACAACTAATCCTAGCAGATACATAGCCAGCCAGAGCGTATCTATAAAATAAAGCCACAATATCTCTTTCTTAAAATAGAGAGTATTACTGGTGATTAGAAATACACAATAAAACTCAGAGATGGCAGTAAACAGGATGGAAATTAGTCATTGAGGTTTCATTCCTTTATGCTAAAGCACCATAGGCATTTTTAATTGGTCCAGCCCAAAAAACAAAGAATAATGTATGCAAAGAAAAAGCAGAGGTCTTCTCTGCGGTCCTTAAATATCAACCTGCACTGAGGAGGCTGTGTCCATGCAACTGAATAGTGGTGCTGTTCTCTAGTACAAAAACTTTTCCTACTTACAGAGTGTTATGTTTCCCATTTGATTTTCTTCTTTATCTGTGGGAAATTTAGGCATTTGCTGAAGATTTAAGAAAAGGGAAGTTGCCTGGTATTGGGAATTCTGATATCACAGCCATGGAATGCCACACACTTCTTAGCCAAGTGTTTCCATTCCTCTGTATACATGACTCCTTCCTCAAGCCAATAATTTTTATAACCTTTTGCCCTTTTTATGGCATCATAGCTATTTAGTAATATTTACTTTTTTTCCCATCTTGTAAAATGTATGACGCCGTTGCCTTGCTGGTTCGTGACTGATCCCCACATAGATCAACTCAAACTCAACAAGTAGTTCACAGAGTTTGAGTTCCCAAGTATGTTAGTCAATAACCCCTAATTTATCTAACAAAAAAGACATCCAAATGATTAAGAAGGAGGCACCACAGCTTTTTTAAGCTTCTGTCTGGTGCCATTGGTCTCAGGCACCAGTCTTACAACTGAATTTACTGGAAGAGCTTTTATCTTTTGGAAACCAGTGCCTTCTGGGCTAATATTATGAACTTGGCATTATATCCAACATAGGGTTGTAATTAGCAGGCAGTATAGCACTTCTGTTCAGCAAATAACCAGTTTATTACTAAGGAACTATTCATAATATTGCTATCTACTAAAACAAGACATTATAGTAACTGCTACATGGTTTAGGCCAGATAAAGTTCCATTGTCATCCTTATGTCCACTTGCAAGAACCATGAACGCCAGCTAAAGTGCCAATTTGTCAACAAGTTACAGACTTTCTTTAAGGAGCAAGATCCAACTGCTGTACTTACATCAGAAAGAAGACTGAAGTTACTTTTACTAATTCCCAATGTAGAATGGATTGTGAATTATTTTTCTAAACATATGTATTAAAATGGATGAGTTTCCTGAAGGATGTTCAAGTAATCAACTTAGGTGGCTACACCTTCAGTAAGAGAAAAGTCAGTGTTGCCTGCTGACTGTTGAGGAATCATCTTGTAGAGAAAATAGAAAATTTAAGAATATAGTTATACGTCTTCACATCATGGAAAGTCTGTACTGAAAGAAAAACTGATTTGGAATATGCACATATAATTTTTACCGAGTCCAGAACATGTCTGAAATAATATGTGCTTTAAAATGTTTGTTTTGCCCAGGAAACTCCAGGAATATAGACCTTCTATACTGCCACTCAAAAGAGAAGTGTCAAAAAGCTGCCAAGTTCTACGTGGTACCCCGAAGCTTTGTGCTTTGCATCTTGTCTCATCAGCATGAGGTCATCTGCAATCTCTGCCTCTGAGAAAGGTCCTTTCCTCTTACTTCCTATAACAGACTCATATAAGAATCTGAAATACAAAATCATAGTGTGTTAATAAAGTAAATCAGAGTAGAACTATTGTCTCTCTAAGGTACTGGATTTTAAAAAGTGAAAACTTTCGTAGAAATCTTGCATACTAAAACAAATTTATATAATGAAGTGTAATACTGACCCACAGTCCTTCTTTTACCCTTGAGCAGAAAAAGTAAAGAAACAGTAGTCTATGTACAGAGCAGGACCTGCATTTTCCTTCACACTGGATGACACACTACGTATGGTATTGCTGCTAGAGACATTCCTGAGAAGCCTGAAAGAACACAGCAAGTGTCTGATAAAATATGCAGCCATCTCTGCAAGATTCAGGCCAAACACGTAACATTTTCTTCCTGCAACATTGCTGCCCTTTCTTTAGTTTGATTGATAAAAACTGTCATTCTTCTCTGTATGGTCAAAGAATAGAATAGTAAAAAATCACAGAACCATTTAGATTTGAAAGATCCTTGAGTCCTTTAAGATCCAAGGATCCTTTAAGATCCTTGAGTCCAACCATTAACCCAGCACTGCCAAGTCCACCACTAAACCAACAAAGACTATTTAGGCTGCCCATCACATATGGGAAGCCTTGGGTAGGAATTCTGTCATACAGGTTTGTGTAGCACCTCTCCCCCAGCTCCAGATGTCGGAGGGGAAGCCATACAAGACAGAGTTACAAACCTCAGAAGTATGCTTGGTCTTGTCTATCCCTTATCCGCCAACAGTACTAACACTGCAGATCTGTCCAGTGTGGAAATAGGAGTTCAAAAGCCTTTCCACTCTCTCTGCTGACTTCAATACAGCTGCTAAGCTTATGCATGATATGTTTATGTTAAGGGTTTGGTGTAAACGGGGCTTGTTTTGCATAGCTGTCTGAAAATGTCCCATCCCCTCCTTTTCAAAAATGGGCAAAAGACCAAATATTTCTGTAAAGCTTTTAAAATCCTATAGTCTACAGAAGATGTTAAATCTTATAAAGCAAAATTGAAAATTTGCAGAGAGCAGGCATTTTTCCTGTTAAAAATGCTGAGTTTAAAAGCTTTCAGATAATCCTAATCACCAAGCTACTCTAAAAAGAAGAAAGGACAATTCTGCATGAATTCTGC